GTCGCGAGCACGTCATCGTTTCTTTGGGATGACCTGTTGCGTCTTCGACTTCGGGGCTGGGACCAAAGGCATCCTCGCCTTCGCCGAAGCCGAGGTCGTCTTCACCACGTTCGGGACCGAAGGAGTCCTCACCACAGCCGGAGTCGAGGTCGTCTTCACCATGTTCGAGACCGAAGGTGTCTTTGTCAAGATTGAGACCGAAACCGTCTTCGCCATGGTTGGGACCGAAGCCGCTCTCATCACGGTTGAGCCCCGGTTCCGAAGGCTTTGGTTCCATAAACACCAATTCCCCTATAACCAACGAAAAAATGGATCAAAGGTCAAAAGCTTTTGTTTTTCTACCAAGAACAAGCTTCCAAAGCAAGTCTCATTCAAGAACAAAGTTCAAAGGAGATTTCCAAAATTCAATCTAACCCAAGGCAAATCTACCAACAATCAAGGCTTGAGATCAATAAAAACCAAAGATTCAAAGGATTTCCTCCTAACAAATCAAGCTTATTGTCCATGGGAACATAGATCTATGAATTTTGGATTCTCAAAAAAGGATGTTTGCTAAGAAAAGCCATGGAATTGGAGGTTTGAGATGCTCACCAAAGAAAAGCAAAGAGTTGAATAAAGAAGAGGGTGATCGGCGGCGAAACTCGGGTGCTCGACGGCGGGCTCGGGTCCGAAGGGGGTGATCGACGGCGGCTAGGGAGAAAGAAAAGATGGAGATGAACAATAAGAGAAAAAACCTAGAAGAAAAAAAAATGTGTTCTTCCTTCCCTCATCTCACTGGGCGGGTCCCGAACCCGTTGTTCCTTCCGGGAATCATTTCTCATCGCCAAAAATGGTACTAACATCAACACGGAGTCTTAAAATCTCCATGGAAAACATGAGTCTTAAAAACCTCTGCGAAGGAATACGGAGTCTTAAAACCTCCAGCATAAAGTCACTCTCTACTACTGTAAGAAAGGATANGCAGATACCTTGTCTCNNAACGGCAATGCTAATATCCAGAACATCTATAGCTCGGCACTATTATCTCTAACACTACCAAGCTGAGGGGCTAACTGTTGGGGTCGGTATTCACCCACTCAACATTGACGTTCAAAGACAGATAACTAAAGAAATGACCCTCCGGACTCTCGACGAACAAGGCGAAATAGCACCTAAGTCTTCACAACGAAGCAAAGCAAGTAATCATGGAAACCGTCTGGGCAAGGTGGAGGACCATCTAGGACTTGACGAATGGAGGAGTGTTCGGCCCGACGGAGACGACCACGGCCTCGCCAAGGGCCGACCACGCCCTCGCCAAGCCTAGCCGACCACGGCCTCGGCCTCGTCTAGCCGACCACGGCCTCGGTCCAAGGGCCGACCATGTCCTCTCCTCGCCTGCTGATCACATCCTCGGTCCAGTGCAGTCTTCGGCCCAACGACATAAAGATAGCCCGAAGCCCGGTCCAGACGGTTTAACCCACTGTGACGCAACCAATTCCGCGAAGACTTAGGAATGTTAGGCCGCCTTAGAGATAGTATATATAGCTGATGTAAAAACCCTCAAGGGGTATTCGCAACCTTGTTCACAAAATCTTACAGAGCAATAACAAAACACTTTTTCATACCTTTGTGATCTTAGCTAACCCTAGAAATCTCTACCTCCTCACGAAACCCTACAAATTCAATTGTGCTAATTTCGACTTCCACACGTATCAAATCTCAACACTTTTGCTTCTGCAGTTAAAGGAAGGTACAACTTTCCGAACCAACTTAGTACTAGCTCTAAGCCTTAGTATCATTTGCTATACATGCATCTGCTCTATTGTTCAATTTTTAAACATAAAATGATGATTTTCTAATGTTGAAGGAAACTTTTTGGTGAAGCAAATGATTCAGTGACATGTAAAAATAACTCTAAGAAAGTAATTCATCTTCTTTTTCTCTTTTATCCTAATGAATTCAGAGATAGTTTAGCTAGATTTGTTTTGGATGTTGTCGATGGAAAGTAAAGCAAGGATAACGGTGAAAAAGGTAGAGCTACTAATAAGACAATGTGTTACTTACTAGCAGTGGGAGGGTCAGACATTGGAAACAATGAAGCTGATATCGCCCATCTCTTCTTCCATTTGTTTTGTGAGTGATCCAGACAGGACAATCACTTCAATTGAACCACTAATGCCTCCACAAAACGCTATATCTTTGCTTTGATTACCTTAGGATTTAAACCTATGGGCAAACACTTTTTGTCTCCTACTGTTGTTTTGTCAAAAGTTGTATTTATATCCAGCAAGACCTAATGACACATATGAATGAAGATCAAATCAAGACAATCTTTAGGTTTAAAATCAACACATCTGTTAGGTTATATAATAGAAAGGTTAAAAACAACCAACCTTTAAGTTTAAGATTTTGTCTAGAGGAAGACGTAGAGGCAGTGGTCTAACAGGAGGAGAAGCGCTAAGGCCCTGAGGCATGGCACCAACCTTATAAACTTGAATAATCGTACAAGAATTGAACAGCCAATGTAGGAAGGGGAAAAACAGATAAAGCTGAGTTTAGAATGATTTTATTACATGGGTTTGGTGGAACTTCAACGAGTTTGACGCTCACACACCTCTTGAGTGAGATTAATTAGGCCATGATGGCGTGCACAAGAGAGCTTTGACCTTGCATTCTTCTTGTTAAAATTAGTGTTCTTGTTTTTTTCTCTTCATAGATCCTCTTTGACCTTGAAAACGGAAGAGTCCCTCGGGGAACTCCCTTTCCTAAAGCTTTCATAAACACGAGGGAGTATATCTATGGACGCAACCGCTCTCTTGTGCACGTCATCAGGGCCTTGTACGGATGCTAAGTTTACAAAGCCTTACCAATCATTACTAAGCTCTTGTTTTTAGTAATAAGCTCTTGTTAGTGTGACATGAAACGGCATGATGTAATAATGGGGAACATGAAAACGGCAAGAAATGGGGGTAACATGAGTTTAATTTGAAATGGAAGGCCTGATCCATTAACATGAAAAACGCTGCGTTTTTTTTAACCATACATGTCAATTTACACACATATATATAATTGTCATTTCAACTTTTCTAACATTTATTTTCTACAGTCAAATCTTGCATTTAATCTAATATTTGTTGTAAGATTCTCTATCCTTTTTTCTTGTCCCCTTTTCTTCAACACTAAGGAGGTGTCATTGGAATAGTATTTTTATTGTATTTTAAAATTAGAGTGAATTTTATGTTATTGGATTAATCATTCCTATAATGTATTTTAAAATACAATAAAATCCGATGCTCTTGATTTTCGGGGATTTTAGTTAGAATGGATTTTATTGTATTTCTTTATTGGCCTAAAACATGAGGAAACAAAATACGTTCCTTTTACTTGTTTTTTCTGATGGATTGATAAGATGACATTAGATGTACAAGACAAACACTACTCGATCATTATAGCATAAGAAAATTAACATTCAAGGACGATGCTGCTATGACTCGGGTCCAAGGACGATTATACTGGCCTTGAAACAAGCTTAATTCTTGATCCTGAGGCCTAAAATCCATCAGCGTTTCTGGTTCATAGCCGCCTATTCAAGATCGGAAGGAAGTAAAATATCTAAGTTCTTGAATAAGAAAAACCTAAAATAAAGTTTCAATAAATCCACAAGAATCTGAGGAGAATAGGAATACCTTTCGAAGTTTTTGCATGACCTCGTCTTCATAAGCTTGGTAACCAGCACCTACTATGTCGCTTTGCGGTTCTGCTTCTGCAGATTTCTTAACGGTAAAAAAATCGGTTTGAGCTGCTTTCTGAAGAGGTACAACCAGCAACGGATTAGAGAGATGGCCACACAATGTTCTCGTCGCTGCAACCTATAAGGAAAAACAATCCATGATTAGATTCTGGATAGATAACCAAAAACAGAGAAACCAAGTTAGTAACAATACTTACGGCTCCATCCTTTGTAGCCATTACAACAAGAGCAGAGCTTTTCTTCTTGGTACTCCTAATAACAACATCTTCAACCTCACCAAACTCTGAAAACACTTCTCTGAGCCTTTCCGCTGTATACCCCTCACCAATCGTTTCCCAAGAAACCTTCAACACTCTCTCTTTATCGAGTTCAACACTGGCTCCAGCTCCTCTTCTATCTTCCTTTCTCTTTTTATCTACACCACTCTCTGGACTTTCAAAACCACCTCTCTTCTTCTTCGCGTGTTGTGCGCGTATCCTATCTACTTGCTCCTTAAGCTTCCTTGAGATTCTCTCCTCTTCGTCACAAGGTCTAGCCGCAGAATTAGGAGCAAAAGCAGAGCGCTCCCTTTCCTCAAGATCTGACATCATCTTACGCCTCCTGGAATCTACTTGGGACTTCTTCTGTTCTTTTTCACGCTTGATTCTAAGAAGATCATCAAACAGCTTTCGGGCTTTTTCGTCTTTGAGAACCTCGTAAGATGTCTTGAGACTCTGAAACTTCTCATGAGCATCAGGATCATCTGGGCGTTTATCCGGATGCAATTCCAAAGCTTTCGACCTGTATGCTTTCCCAATCTCCTGCTCGGTAAGCTTCAGAGCTTCCTCTCCAGAGGGTAACCCAAGAACTAAATAGTGATCCACAAAAGCCTCCATTTCTATCTTCTTCTATGCCAGACCACCCTAGTGCAAAGAACCACAAAGGAGTTAGTACTCTAAAAAGATTTACAATTTCAATTGGCCAGCAACAGATATAATGCAAGTGACACGCAAACATTTTAGGCTTCAGAACAGATATAATGCTTTTCGTTTCCTAACCCCGTCAAGCATCAATGACACGAGTCCAAAGTTGTTAAGGCTATGAAGTCGGGCATTAACCTAAAACCTCAATGGAAACTCGGACTGTTCATTACTTGCGAATCACAATTATAAATTTCATAAATCCTTCAAAGCCTAGACTAACACCCTCAAATTCTAATCGAATCGACAAGCGAAACACATAAATCCGATCACAATAGTCTCCGATTAAGGTGAAATCCTTACGAACCAAAGCGAAACCCTAGAACTAGAAGCTTCTTTCTCAACGAAATAATCGAGCAAGAACAAAAAGAGAAAGTAGTACCGCTTGAGCAATCGAGTTTACCTGAGAGGGAATTGGAATTGCAATCA